CCCAACGTCCTGATTAATTTTGCATTATCAATTAAAAAATAATTGCCGTGGATTATGTAGAGGCTCATTATTACGCTACTTTAGATCAATAAAAGGCCACGCTGTACGGTCATCACGTGTCGGTGACAAGAATTTACATAACATTTTGAAATTAATCGACTTCCCTGCTAATTTTCAATGTCAGATCATAAACCAATATTAGCCTTTTGTTACTGATGGTATCATCTAATATCGATAATGATCACCTCATCATTTACGAGCATTTCGTTACATCAATAAAATAAGTCATCTTTTGCTATCGCACAAATACATTACTGTAACTACCAATTACAAACGCTATAGCTAATGAGTTTTGTAACATTTGTGTACCTTTCACAGATACAAATATTATTAACACAAATGATACAATGTATATTTTCAGTAATAAAAGTTAATGAGACACTAGCACAAGATGATATAATAAAAAGTTTGCTCGCGTTGTTTGAAATCTCCAAAATTGTTACACTTAAAACGAGATAAATATATATACTCAGATTAGAAAGAAAAGTTGAAAAGAAAGAAAGCGAAGATTTTGAATGCAAGAAGTGCAAACAACGCAAACAGATCTAAACTTATCAGATTGTCATGCAACTTTAATGCATTATTTTTATAGTAGCTGCTTCTTTTTCAACTGTTTGTCTTTTTAAATCTATTTTCTATTTAACGATAGAATACATATTACGTCTAATTTTATAACCTGTCACGTCTATGTTTGTAACCGACCAAAAAAACATATCCGTTATAATTTTCCAGTGTTTTAATATTCTCTCGTATTTAACGATCCAATTGCGTCGTAAAGCATTTAACCGGCGGCTTGTACGACCCTGCGGCATTACGTACAATTTTCTTCGCATTATACCTAATTGACCGGCTGATGTCAGTGCGTCCCGTCTCTTTCCGTCGTGTATCGATCTGAGAATTATAGGGCGATTATACGGTGCACCCATATTGCTAGCACGATTTAGTGCCGTGCTTCGTTTGTTGGTTTTGATGGCGGAGCCAAATTACTACAAGTCGATGGACGTCGTCTCGACTCGATAAATAATGCATGATAGTACTACTCGCTTAACAATCGAATGTTTTTCTTGTCGATGTAGAAAATTAACTGTTTACAATTTTAAAAAGCAAGTGGCTATAAATAATTTAGAAAGATAATGCTTATGATAAATAATGTAATAGGGACAACACGCTGTCTCGAATTGTTTAAAACTTAAATAAATTTGTTTATTTTTGTCCATCGATTATAGACGGAGACACTCTGCTTTAATAATTCAATTGGCTGATGAATAAAAGTTACGATATATGTCTACGCTTCATATAGCGCATATATTACATAGCTCATATCAGCGTCTAACCATTACTGGAAATCGCGTGTTTATGAACGATTTATCATTAATTTCTGAGACAAGAGAGAGAAAGCAAAAAAAAAACATATTTGAAGGACAAATATTCTCCACCTAGCTTATATAAACTTAATTAATAAAGTACCCTATACACACACACACACACATATATGTGTATATATATATATATATATATACATACATACAGGAAAGCCCCCTATTATGAGATAGGCGCCCAATATGAGATAGCGACGTTTCTGCTAAATTAATAAACTATTGGTTCCACCATGAATTTATTGCTCTTGAATTAAAAACTATTTAATAGAAAATTCATTATTAGATCATGCCTGTAGTCATTGTAAAACAAGATTTTAGAATTTGGATGTCTTCAAGTTTCATTGAGATGAGCATTTAAACCTTGTTTATTATTTAATAAATAAATATTTGGCAATAAATTCTTCATGTAGTGATAGAGTAAGGTTGTACTAATAGAAAAATACGGGATATGTTGAATTGTTTAATTACAGAAGTTAGATTTGATGATCGTAAAACCATAAGGCGTGGAAATCGTAATATGAGGAATACCCAGGGTATTCCTAATATGAAATAACCCATGCTCCTGTTATAATGAAAATTGTTGCTAAAGTATAAATGTATTGTACAATAATAAAAAAAGACAACTGGAATAAACGTCGAGTGCCTATATCTGCGATGCTTGATTCCAACTACCTGAAAACGAGTTCTGGGTATAATCTATCGCATGCTCATTTTTCGTGCATGCTGGTTATGTTTGTTTGTATTTTAGAAACATTAAATAAAATTTTTTAATTGTAATACTGATATACTTTGTGTTTTACTGTCGATTTCTCGGGGCATCTCATATTAGGAGAACAATTTTTTGACTTTTCAATTTGCTCACTTTTTACATTTCTTTAATTTTCAAAAAAATGGAATTTGAATTAAATTTTATGTAAAGTTATTTTAAAGCTTATTAAATTCTCTTCAAAATGACCTATCATTTTTTAAAATTCTGCCTATAGACTTCTAGCATTTACCCAAAATGAACTCGGTATCTCAGAATAGGGGCCTTTCCTCTATATATATTTACGGTGCTATACGTATATAACAATAATGTCAATATAAAAGATTGAAGCGAGAAAATGAAAAGGACTCATTAGTCATAGAATTGTTTCGTGATTTTATCTATGTATAATTCAAGAAATCTTGAAGGTTACAAATGAAAGAAAATAATAAAACTTGAATCGTATAAAAATCCATAACCACCATAATAACATATGATTCAGCGAGTTATTACGACTATTGATCGAAGAACATATTGAAGAAAACCATGAACCGCTATTTTTGTTCAGTAAAATACGTAATTAAAAATGACGGTCCTCAAAGGCGAGGTTAGTTCTTTTATATCTTAAAAGAGGTGTGACAAAGTAACTTTTATGCTTGTTCATTCACTCTTGATTACATTGTACTTGCATGTCCGTGTGGTGCGATATCACTAGTAAAATCTAATTAATCGAGTAAGAATAGTCGCGTGTGAAGCTTGTCTGAGAAACGGATCGCTAGTATAACGTATTGCGATTGAACGCGTAGCGTTGAAAGCCGGCGAAAATAAAGCGTATGGTAAACACGATAGCGGACAAAGCATTGCAATTGCAGTATCGTTCTCGCATATATCTACATCCATTTTAATCGGCGTGCCGCAACGCAAAACGAAAGCAGGGCGCGTTTGGGATATTGCAAGGTTATTTCGGCGTCTCGCATGGATACGGTGAATGTTAGCGGACGGCAATCGGCAGATGAAACTGCAGTGTGCGCAATCCGCTATACTCCTGTCGATATATTCTTCTTCATAACGACTGGGAATCAAGCGGATAACATACCCAATACCGATCTCAAAAAAAAAAAGGAAAGAGATAGATGGAATGCAAAATCAAGCCGCGTAAACAAAAAATGTATATGTTTTCTTAAAAATTTATGAAAAATGAGCATTATAATGAACTGGATTATACCAAGAAAATAATCCTTAATTAATATTTATAACATTTAGAGGTGGAGAACCTGTGGAAGATTAAATTAAAAAAGTAAAGCTTAAAAGGAACGTCGCAGAGGACCTTTGAATAAGAAAGTACCATTCTAATGTATTATGAAATCATAATTTCGACGTCCCTGTAGTAACATTAGTAAATCTATCCACGACTCATGTGTTTACTGCTGTTAGCCACGTACAACATTGAATTCATCCTTGATAGACGATTATCGTCACCATGCATCGATCGACAATAGTAACGAATGAACTCTGACATTAGTGGACCATTCAACCGCTACGCATATTTAGACTCAACCAATTACGGTATTTTTCCAGAACGCATTTGAGATAAAATAAAATAAGATTATAAGTGCAAATTAATATAAATGCATTTCATAACTTTATAATAACAGATATTTTACATAAAATGTTGACCTTCCGAAATATAAATCTATATATATATTATAATTGACTCGATTCGGTACTATAGTGCTTAGTACTAGCCAATATTTCAATGTAAAATATCGTGTATTTTAAATAAATTTTAAATACACACTAGTGAATAAAACAACATTTATTGCTATCGCAGTTTTTCAATATTTCATAACAAATGTCAACATAAACCAAAACTTATTACAATAACTGAATAATAAAATAAAAAATATAATATTATATAAACAGAATCGACAAATTTAATATAAAATTTTAGGATATGTAAAAAATACTTGCAAAAATTCTTGCATTTTAACATGCAGCAGAAAAGATCAATACTAGTTTGCATATATTCTCCTCACCGAGGAGGACATATACATAATTGTTAGTTAATCACATAATATTTAAAAAAAAACAATAAAAAAGTAATCCATCTCGCAAATAAATTCAAAAGTATTATGAAAATTCTCTAGTAATCGTATCGGATAATCGCGATGCGAAAAATACAATTTCGCGAAGAATATGGAATGCAGACGGCATGCGGCTTATCGTTCATCGTTATCTGGTATGGGAGAACGAATATCGATGGCAAGACGTGAAAGAATCGATAGAAAGCAATGGATATTTTCCTCGGAAATCGTATCGGTGTATAGAAGTACTCCCCGGTTAGTAGCTACTGTGCGTGCCTGGTCAGCCAGCCAACTGAATCGCTTATGCGGGGTGTTAACCCTTTTTGCACCGACGCGATCGGCAGTAGTCGCTCGGCGAAGCTTATCCTGACACTTACTACTCGCAGTAGTCACCGGCCGGCTATAGGCGATACAAGTCCACTCGTTTGGCGCGATGCGCGGATAGCCTGACTATACCTCTCGTCGCACTCCTCGTCCTTCGATTCACCTGTCTGACGCCAAGCGTCCGTCCCTACTACGTTCCACGGTGCTCCCTCCTCCTCGCCCTAGTCCTGCCCCCTCCACCGAAATCGATGCTACTCGCAGATCGCGAGTTCAGTCTGCGACTGGCAACCGCGCGTGTAACATCGTTTCTTCTTTGTCCCTCTCTTTCATTCTCCTGCCCCTTCCGCATGTTGCATCGCGCAAGTTTTTGAGTTACGTTGAGAGAAAAAAAAAACGAGGATTATTTGTCGCCACGGAAATTTCGGTGTACCGAGGAGAGAAAACGTGAGATAAGGTGAGATAAGATGAGAACCGATATCGTGTCGGTGATGATTTTTCGTCGACAGATGCATCATCATTGCGCACTATTGGAGCGATCTTGAGGTGGTTGAATGTGCAGCGACGCGAAGGATAACGATTCCGGACAGACTGTACTTTTACGCCGGCAGAACTGCTGATTCGGTGAGTAAAAGTGGATGAAGTCTCTTGAAATTTCAAGTGATGCGTAATGCATTTTTTTTTTTTTTTAAACATGCAGACTAGAATATAGTTACGAATTCAAAACTATAGTCAAGGGCAACTATCGTCAGTTAAAATATCCAATATCAAAGTATCCCATTTCAAACGTATCAATTCTATCGAAATTCAATTTGATATTTTGCTGCATAAACGTAAAGTTATCCACAACTTTTTTTTTTTACGTAGGATGGAATATTTACAAAACTATACAGCTCTGAGCTGCTGATTATTATATTCTTAGCATTTTCATTTTTCCAGAGAGATTTTCCCTCCAAATAAAATAAACTCGCTAATTTAAAAAGAAAAATTTAAGAAACTTGTAAAAGCCGAATATGCTTTACCTACCAAGATACCTTTACTTACGCAGATTAGCGTAACTATTATCAATAAAGAGTGTTACGTCACCCATGTTATCAGCAAGTAGGCAAATGCGTGATCGGTCAGCCCGGGCGGCTTTACCGTGGACATTTCAGTGACAGTTTCCATTAGGGCGAACCGTAATACTCCGACAAGTCTACCCATAGTGGTTTCCCTCGCACGTTCCACTGCAAGAAATTTCATTCCTCTCCTACCTCCTGTATACCTCGACATTCTCTTTCAGTTGCTTACGACCTCGACATCGCAGGCACGGTCCACGAGTACGGTCGTACGGTACGATACGGACATACGCGACTCGTCGGAACTTTGTTAATTAATTGCTTTGGAAATATAATCCACGTCGAGTGTAACTAATCAGCGAGAAACTCGGTCGGACGTTGACGGGCATGTTTGCTGCACCTATCACGTAGCGGGATGGAAATGTAATTTGCCAGGATAGAGTTAGCCCCGTTGAATGCCGCGGCCAACCTTCAGCCGCCTGTTTTCCTCCCCCTCGGTGCCAGTCCCGCTTCAAGCCAAACCCTCGCCGCGTGCCACTCATTGATCGCTATTCTGGATTTCGCATGTAAGGATCCAACGGAGCAGTCCGTTGCGGAAACACGCGCTCGCCTATCGGCCGCGTTTCGATGAGGGTGAACAAATCGGCTAGTAAACGTTACAATGCAGATACACGGCGTTATAACTCCGCATTGGCCTGACGTGTCCTTTATATAAATCACGATTTCTCCCCGAGGCGTTAAATAAGTTATGCAAATCATTCTGTATATCACAAAATCTGTATTTTTACGTATACAATTATTTATCAATTTGAAAACAACTTTTTTAATATGAAAATTGACCTGCAATTTGAAGACGACTTTTTCAGTGAATATCGAGAAACGTCACTTTTAAATACTTTTGTAATCTTAAAAAAGTCTACCTAAATAAAATCAAATCAAAATTTAATAAAAAGTAATGTTTTACTTTCCTAAAGCTTATATTACTTTAAAAGCCAATTTATAATCGTTTTTCAAATCATAAATTCAGTTGGCGATCTTTGTCTAAAAAAACTTGTCTTCAAAATTATTTTCAAGTTAATTGTCGAATTGATATATGAAAAGTAGCATATCTCGTATAGAAAAAATTTCGTATTTTGTCTTATTATATCAAAAATTCATTGCTATGATATAGAACAGTGAAACGCCAATTAATAGCGTAATTTAAATGTAGCATATTTAATTTGAATAATTTATTGTAAATCTTGAAATCCTAAATTAAAGTTTGTTTATATCCTGGAGAAAATCCAATAATATTTGGCGTAAAAGGATGATTGAAATTGCCAACTGTTGCGAATCTATTATGATTCTCATAAATACAACGGGTATATGTGTTAATATTCATTTAATATTCAACATCGCCCATATTAATTACGTACATAATTAGCTCTCTTATGAAGATTCTTTCATTCCCAGTGGGATCGTTTTCATTTAAACTGATATTAATATCCAAATCGAGTTTCACGTCAGCTTCAACAGAAAAAATGATATGACTTTTTCAGCGTTGTGGAATACAGATTAAGGAATCGAAAAGTTTTTTTTATCGATTTTAAGATTCCTCGATTTATTCAAGAAAAGGAGCAATATCTCGATGAATGAGTGTAAGCGATAAATAACTGGCACCAAGCAATGGGAAGTAATCGGATGTGCGTATAGAATAAGCGAGGGGTATGGAGTTTCGAGGATTACATGAAAACGGTTTCAGTGTCGGATATGTCGACGAATTCGCCGGATGGTTAAGCTAGCAGTTACGATTAAAAGCCGCAGGCTTCCATTGTATTGTCCACTCACATATACGGACTTCTCACATAAATTATTTAAAACGTTTACTCGATTGTTGCGAAGAAGATATCAACGAGAACTGCAAAACTACAGTTACGAATTTAGCCGTCACAGTCATCTAGCGGCAAACAATAGCAAATTTCAAACTCTGCAAATTATTACATATACTCACCTACGCGCATAGAAATATATATATATATATATATATATATATACCATATAATTCGTTTAATCAACGCGCGCGCAAACCAAGACGCGAATGATCAAGATGTTGCATTCGCATCGCGAAGAATAAAAGGCTACATTTCCGAAACGCACGTAGACTTGAACGTGATATTAGATTGCGACATTTGTACATTCGTGACTGTACATATGTCTAACCTTAGTATGCGGTATGCACTATGGCTGTGCGGTGCGGTAATACAAATAGGGGTTGCTCCCGAGCGCGACGCCTGTACGGCGTAGCTTCACGCATCGCTTACTCATTGCTGAACATCCAGTCGCAGTTGGTGCCGCTCTTGGGACACGCGAAATTTACTTTAGCCGCGAGTACGACTTTAAAGCGATGTTTCGAGGACACCGCCTACCGCGGCAAATAACGTTTCAATCCGTGTCACAGAATCAGCAACGTCCTAGGTGACTGCGTACTCGTGCACGAAGCGCACACGTGCGAATGGCGGTATACTTCGATGGCGTTTAATGCCAATGTCACGCCACGGAATGTACAAAGTTTCAAGCCAGTTCCGAATGCAATTTATTGTCATGTACAGTCGCGAATTGGATGGCGGTCTCTATTTTAGCAAGTCGGAAAATCAGAAAGCAGTTTCTGATTTTGCAAAGGATTGCAGGTCGTGTGACGATATTAAATATAATGAGATATTTAGAATTTCCTTTTTGCATAACAGGCAATGTCACGGTTGCACGATTTAATGATTGATTGTTATTATTATTTCCCTCTTGAATATATACGGACGCATCACATTTTGTCATCCAACAGCACGATTGATTGCGCAGTTTTTTTACCCAGTTTTAAACGTGACTGTTAGAGTGTGTTATACGAAGATACAACGATAACATAATGCCCCGCACAACGGAATTGCTTTAAAAAAAACTGGGTCGTGTGCTACACGTTTATTCATATTCTCCTGCATAAATACGTCTCGCATATGAGAAAGCATACAAAATTTGTTTTTTACACCAGAAAACATTTTCTCTTGCTTGCGGATATATATATAGATATCATTTTACCCGTGCAAAAATGCAATTCGGCAATTACACAACGTGAAATATGTTCTATTCATGTTCGTTTCATCGATGTGAACTGCTGCTGATTATTTGAATATTGCTGCATGTTGATTGGAAAATTGGGCAAAAATTTGCAAATTAATAATTATAACATTCAAAAATTGTCAAGAAATACAATTATAGCTTTTATTTTTACGCACAATAATTTCGTACAATATTTTCGCCTTTTTAAATAATGTTGTTAATATGAAAATATATTTCACACAATTGAATACACTTGCAATCTAATCGAAATTGGCGATCGTTGTAATTTCCTAAGTATCATTAACGGCAGAAAGCGATAATGCTAACTAATTCCCTCATTTAAATATATTCGTTACATAATAGTTTATCGTCGGCGCGTCATTTAATTATTTCCTCAAAGTGTCACACGTACCATAGACTTGTAAAGTAAATTTGTGCACGTGCTAGTTTGATTTTGATTGACGCCATCTGTTGCACCTATCGATTCCGTAATGCCTGCCGATCATTACTGGCGTGTAGAATTTATTGCTCCGTAAATAAAATTTAAGACACGATGACGGTACCTCGTATACCAGCTATATAATCGATAATTACGAACGTAGCGAAATTCGTTACATCTGCGACGTATACCGATTAGACGTCATTTTATCTGCATAATTGCATCGTGCATCTTTATTTTCGCCAAAACAACAATTAACAAGAAACGTCCACATGAGCCTCGCGATTGTGTAAATAACTACGTGAACAAATACTGTCCGACCGTGACTAGTGCACTCTGTTGGACTGACAAACACGATCCCTAACTATTGCTATAACTGACGCAGTTCATTTTGCTTGAACGTAAATATCCAGATATTGTGCCCGCCAATACAGTATGACGAATACGAACCTCGTCCTATTCCCTAATTATTAATAATGCCTCTTAACATATCGACGATGAGATAATTACTATTTTCATTATATATAAAAGTCGGTAGCATTTATTATGAACGGATTATTACTGTTAGTAGCATTATGTGCTAGTTATCGCATTAAGAGATTAAATCAAATTAAAGTTTAAATTAATAAGATTAGTGAAATACAATTATTCTTCAAACTTATATATGTTCTAAAAAATCATATTTGTATTCGGTTATGATCAAATTGATTTTCCTATAAAAAGCTGCTTAAGTATAAATTTAAATTTCGCAATTAACCCTTAAGGGCTCGCGTGATCTTTTTTAACGCAGGTACTCACGTGGGAGTCAATTTGACCTGTATTTTAATTTATTTATTTTTTATATGTAAATATTGTACACCTATAAATAGTTATAAACTAAGTCAAATAATTAATAATTATTTCATAAAAAGAATAAAATAATGATAAATAATTTTAATAAATGAAATAATTTTCAAGAGCTAGAAATTAAAAGAAATCCATTTTTTTTTTAAATATTTCTTTACGTAATATTTTGTAAATTCATTCCGTAAATTCATAGC